CCGCGAGCCCCCCGCCGCCGGGCGTCCCCGCGCCCGCCGCCTCACCTCAGGGGTTCCGGCTGCGGGCGCGCCGCCGCCGCCGCCTCGCCGCCAGAGCGCGCCGGGCCGCGCAGAAACTTTCCGGGCCGCGCGCGCTCCCGGCCGCCCGAGCCCCGCCGCCCCATCGGAGCGTCCGGCCGAGCTGCTGCCACAGGTCACCCGGCCTCCGAGCCTGGGCCGTCGAGCCCGTCCTGGGGTCCGCTCCACGCCTCCCGCCGGCCGAAGACCGCCGCGCCTTCCGTGCAGGCCCTCTGGGATGGGGGCAGCCCCTGGCCGAAACTGTATTTTGGACCCATCCTACAGTAATGGCGCTGACCAGTAGCTCAAAGGGGTAGACAGAAAGGACGGGCCGTGCGTGTACACACTGTTGCACACCAGACGTCTCTGGATCCATTTCTACAGTGGATTTTTTCTATGCTTGTTTTAACGCTTTGCTTATGCTCTTTGCAACAATTGCAACAGCTGCAGTCTTACAAACAAACGTGAAACACTGGTAAACACTGGTCTAGGCAGGAAACACTTGCTCTCGGCGATTTTCAATAAACCTAGGGTTACAGCGTTGATACACTAGACAGCTATTCAACCTAACACAGGCCGGGAAAGAAAAAAAGAGTTAAAACTAAAGCAAATAGGGGCACGGGAAGGAAAATGACTTGCTCTGGACCGTCCGGGACATCACGAAGTTGCGCATCCGGTAAAAGTACTTTCGGCTGCGCTGTTGGTGTAATGAAAGCCCACAGTCAACATAATTAATCTGAAGAAAGCGGAAGTGGCCACGAGTGGCCTGTTGACAGGAGTCAGTACCTGGTTCTTCCCTCCTCCTGCCTCACCTCTGGCCTTCTCACCCCAGTGGCCAGTTTCCTTTCCAAACAACGCTGAAAACTAACTTAAATCCCCGTCAGATGTTTACTGCTGATAAAGGGGAAAACCTGCTTAATGTATGGATAACGTTGACCGACCGTGACAATGTCTCAAGAAATGGGACAAAGTGGACGGCGCTCAGCGTGAGGCGAAATGGCCAGGCTTATAGATGAGTGGGATTAGGAAGTGTTGGTCTGCCCTCTCCCTACCCTGTACATCCCTAACCTCACACCAGCCAAGGAACTGTCATGTCTGCGTTGGGATGCTAGTCACCAAAAACCAGCCCAAAAGTTATGGCTGGTGGCAAGCAATGGACATAGCAGCCTCTGGAAGAAGCGCAGGTCTAGCGCTGACCAAATACAGGAATTAAACCTTGGGTTTTTTCTGAGAATCTGGGAGCCTGGGAGGGCAAAGAGAAGTCTCCTGGTCTCAGCCATTGTGCCCAGCTCCCTCTAGAGCATGCCGCCCTCACACAGTAGACCCCGCCCACTCTGCAAAGAGCAAACAGGGAAGAAGTGACAAGTGACACCCCGTGTGACACCACCGGTGTGCATGAGGACAGGATCCAAACCCTGTGCTTCCACCACACCAAAGTGTTTATTCGGAGATCGCCAAGGCAAAAATGAGGTCTTTGGGCTGGATCCAGACTCAAAAGACGTGTCCTTATTGCAAACTGAACCTAGGAACAGGCACAACTAACTACTGACGAGGACAATCTGAGGCCACTGAACAGCAGTCAGGAGGCAGGAGGCAGATTCTCCTTTCAACCTTGCAAGAGAGAGAGAGAGAGCTCAGTTTTTACCTAGGACCTAACTTCCAGAACTGTGGGCCGATGCATGGCTGAGGTTTAGCCTGGCCCTTGCTTTGCTGACAAGGTTTCTCCTGGCTGCCCACATCCCGGGTCATCTGGGTGGAACAGTATTTTAGGCCCATTAGGTGGAGTAGATGGAATCTGCTCCGAGTTAAACCAAATATTCCAAGGACAAACGAACTGCCATTCTGTTCCCACCTCTGTCCCCCGTTGGAGGTGAGAAGAACAGTTTGAAATTCAGCCCTGCAATCCAACGCTCCTCCCGTCCTGACAGTCTTGTGCTGATAGAGTGCCTTCTGGAACTTCTGATTTTAAAAGCCATCCATGTCTATAAAATACTAAAACAAAGTAAAGCAAGACAAAGGACTTACAGAAACTGACATTGATAATCTAAGAACTTAATAGTTCTCTACATCTGAGGTCCAAAAACAAAATATAAGTGTATGGTCATTTAAACAATTTAACAACAGGGAAGAGTAATGCTGGCCGCAAAGTTACTCACAGAGGTTGTCCCTGGAGCTGCTGGGTCAAAACCTGGGCTCCTACAACCCTGACACAGTAAGGGGACAAATAATAGTGACAGAGTCTGGAGATGTATTCAGTGTGGCCACACTGGGACAGGGAGCAGAGAGGCCCAGTGACACACTCCAGACTATGTTGGGGAGTAGATCCTGACCCAAGGGTTAGATTTAGAGGCAGGGCAAGAGGTAAGCACAACTCAGCAGTCCCCGCAGAGGGCGGTCCCACCGACACCGATGCCCCATGCAGAACCACAACTCTGAGTGTCGGTCTCCCATGCAAGGTGGTCTAACAGGTTGTCAGTATGAAATCTCTTCCTGCCAGCCACATTCCTCTTCTGACTGGTACTGAGAACCTTTCCTTCTCCCAGCCTTCCACTCCTGGGGAAATTCCAGTTCTTTGGGGTGCATTGTCTGCTAGCCAGTGGGAAAGCTGCACACCTTCCTGCCAGGAAGGTTACGAGGTCACCCATAAACACGTTCATGCTGTTCACGGCAGCATAGATTCTTCCAGGGGTTCCTAGGGAAATGTGGCTGGATGAAGAGTTTTGTACTTACAAAACCGATGCTTTTAGCCTCCTGTGGACCGGTGGGCAGGGAACAGTGGCTGGGGAGGGGAGCCACTCTCTTCGTGGGGTGACCACTGACAACGCCTCTCTGCTCCTCCAGTAGATGGTCTCCCACCCAGGCTCCTGCAACTTCAACCAAACTCATTGGGTCACCCCCAAATGTGTTTACTGAATGTCTGCGCTCTGTGCCGATCTGGTGCCCACTCGGGGAGGCAGGGAGAGGAGCCATCTTCTTATTGACTTCTTTGCTGCTGAAAGGGTAAGAAAGAAAGAAGGAATTGAAGCACATTGTGGATACCAGCACCACGCTGAGCAGTTTCTCTCTGGGCTCCTCCACTGTCAGCACACCCACAGGAAGTCCTCCCCAACTCCCTCCTCCCTCCGCTGCCATCCTGAGCCTGGGCAGCAACAAGTTGTTCATGAACTGGAATTGCTCAAACAGCATCTTGTCCCGAAAGCAGTACTGATTACCTTCTCATCCTGTGTGTACGTTTGCCAAGATTCCTTCACAAATTGTCATTAATACTCTTTTTCCTGGACTTCAAGGAAAAAAATAGAAACTATGAAGTCCCAGCAAAGAATTGAGAAAGCCGCAACTAGGAGGAAGTGAGAGAGGGAGCCTCCAACCTGCACACGGATAGCACGCACGCCTGTGTGCAGGTACGCTGTCTCTCTCTCTCTCTCTCTCTCTCTCGATAACAAGATTTTTCATTTTAGTACTTAAAGAAAATATGAAATTGTTGGGTTGGTGTGCATGGTTTCTACTCTTTGCAAACATCTTGAAAGTGTGCTGTGACTTTGGCAACACTTACGAAGCTACGCAGGCCCGTACTGACTCACAGCTGTCTTAGGGTTTCTACTGTGCACTGAAACGCCAGGACCAAAGACAAGTCAGGAGGAAACGGTGTACCGGGCTTACACATTTATATCACTGTTCATCATTGAAGGAAGTCAGGACAGAACTCACACAGGGCTTCCTGGCTTGCGCAGCCTGCTCTCTTATAGAACCCCAGACCACCAGCCCAGGGATGGCTCCACCCACCATGGACTGGGCCCTGCCCAGCCATACAGGCTTGCCTACAACCTGATCTCACAGAGGAATTTCCTTTGTCTTTATTTTATCTATCTATCTATCTATTTATTTTTAGTATTTATTTATTTATTTATTTATTTATTTATTTATTTATTTATTTATATTTGGTATTTCGGACAGTATTTCTCTGTGTAGCCTTAGCTGTCCTGGACTCATTTTGTAGACCAGGCTGACCTCAAACTCACAGTGATCCGCCTGCCTCTGCCTCCCTAACTGTTGGGATTAAGGGTATGCTCCACAGCGCCCAGCTTAGAGGAATTTTCTTAATTGAGGTTGCTTCCTCTCAGAGGACTCCAGCTTGTGTCAACTTGACACAAAACTGCCAACATAAGTGATCCCTTGTGGACTTGACACTAACACAGCACTGAAAAGCCACAATCTTTCCCTTCCCATTCATTCCCAATATCTCACATTAAAAACCATAACTTTAAAACTCCCACAGTCTTACACATTCAAGCACATTAAAATTTCAGTCCTTTTAAATGTCTTTATAGGTTTTATTGGTTTTGCCTTTTTTTGTTATTGTTGGTTTTTGCTGTTGTTTTAGGGTTTTTTGTTTGTTTGTTTTTGTTTTTTGAGACTCCCTGTGTAGCACTGACTATCCTGGACTCACTTTATAAACCAGGCTGGCCTTGAACTCACAGAGATCCACCTGCCTCCACCTCCCTGAGTGTTGGGATTACAGGCGTGTGTCACCATGACTGGCAATATCTTATCTCTTAAATACACCCAAAATCTCTTAAGAGTTCAGTCTTTCAGCCATTTACTACTACAAAAATTTAAATTAAGTTAAATGCTTTCTCGCTCCAAAAGGGGAGAGCCAGGGCACAGTCACATCAGAACAAGGCAAAACTCCAACAGAGTATAACTCAACGTCCAATGTCTGGGACCCACTCCTGATCTCTGGGCACTGCTGAGAGGCTCCGGCCACTTCTCCGGCCCTGCCCTCTGCAGAAGACAAGAGGCTGGTCGTTGGCTCTGGCTGGCCCCATCCCTCTGCTGCTGCCCTTCTTGGTGTCATCCCAAAGCATGGCCTATCCAAACGCTAGGCTCCCTTACTGCAACTGGGTTAGATTTTCAGGAATAGCCGCTCCTGGCTCTCTTTAGGGGCTGCCGAACCACCACACACTGCAAAGGCTCAGCCACTCTCCATGGCCCCTTCATGCCTTCAAAACCACGATACAGAATTTCTCCATGTAACAGTCTTGGCTGGCCTAGAACTCACAGCCTCTGCCACCACACCTGGCTCACCTGGGTGACTCTCACACTACCCAACATGAGACACAGCCTTGGCAACCTCTGGAGCACAGCTTCTGTGTGCTGAAGAAAACACTTCCCAGAAGCCCTCACTTCAGTGACTCTGGCTCCATCTTAATCACCACTGATTTCTCAGCTCCAGCTAACCAGTATCAATTGTCCCAGTAACTTGAAGGTTAAACTTCATTGGTGCCAGCCAATTGTTAATCATGCTGACCCTTCAGCCCCAGCTGACCAGACATCACAGATTCTTCACACAAATGGCCCTGGACAGTCTTCTGAAACACATATGCCAGGCCTCCATCTTCTGCACTGCTTTCAACATTCTTATCCTCCAGGCTCCAACAAAACATCCCACTGAAGCTGAGAGGTGGCAGCACACACCTATACTCCCAGCATTCAGAGAGGCAGAGGCAGGCAGATCTCTGTGAGTTTGAGGCCAGTCTGGTCTACAAAAGAGTCCAGGAGAGCCAAGGCTACAAACCAAAAAGAAGAAGAGGAAGAAAAAGCCACTGAGCTTGAGCTTGTAACCTCAGTGGCTTTTCTAGCCCAAAGTTCTAAGGTCCTTCCTTGCACAATCCTCCTAAAAACCCCACCAACTTTTCTTAGGGGTTCTGTTGCTGCAGTGAAACAGCATGACCACAGCAACTAGGGAGGACAGGATTTCTCTGGCTTATGAGTCCATATCATGCTTCAAAGGGAGTCAGGACAGGAAGATGGAGGCAGGGGCTGCTGCAGAGCCCATGGAGGGCGCAGCTTACGTGCTCCCCATGGCGTGCTCCCCTGCTTTTTGTCGTTGTTTTCTTTGGTTTTTGTTTTGTTGAGACAGGGTTTCTCTGTTGAACCCGAGCCCTGGCTGTTGGCTCCTGGACCAGGGTAGCCTTGAACTCTGCCTAAGTGCTGGAATTAAAGGTGCATGCCACCACACCAGACTTCAACCTGCTCTCTTATAGCACCCAGGACTGCCAGCCCAGGGATGGCACCACCCGCAACGGGCTGGGCCCTGCCCATCCGTCAATAGCTTAAAAAATGCCCTGTCTGGCCGGCAGCCTGACCTTAAGAGGCATTTTCCCCATTAAGGTTCCCTCCGCTCAGATGACTTTGGCTTGTAGCAAGTTGATACAAGACTACCCAGTGCAACACCAACGCAACAGCTTCCCCCAGCCTGGTGGGCTGAGGGGGTTCCCTAATGAAGCTGACAAGCAATTCACGCAGGAATTCATAGGTAGGGAGGAGGCCCAGCTTGCAAAACAGGACGGCCCCCAAGGGCTCATTAACTCAACAGTTCCCAGCGTCCACTTGTCCTGGCCAGTGTGTCACTGTGCACTCACTAGCATTTTCACAGTTTCCCCTATGTTGCTTGTCAGTCCGGTAGCGATGGCTTTACCTTCCCATCTTGCAATGCGCCTTACAGCTTTGTTTCTAACCTATACATACTTTAAGGGCAAAGGGAGCTCTGTCTGTCTCTCTCTCCCTCTCTCTTTCTATCTCTATTTATTTATTTAAAGACAAGCTATCACTATGGTGGGCTTGACCTGCCTGAAACTGGGTATGTTGCCCAAACTAGTGTCAAAGTCACAGAACTCTGCCGGCCTCTGCTGGAAGAGTGCAGGGTAAAGGCACGTGACTGCACAGAAGCAGAAGACCCTGCTGCTTTTCTGCCTCCTCGCCCCGTGTACGCTGAAGCCATCTAGTCATTTATCCAGCAATAAGATATGACGTCTGTGGTGTTAACTGGGGTGGGGTTCTAACTCTGCCTCAGGAAAGTGGGCTTAGTCAGCAAAGCCTGAGGAGGCACGTTCCCCCAAGGGCCGCAGTGGCATCAGCGGCCCCTGTGTGTCCACATAGTTCTGCAACAGCCTGGTGTCCCGAAGTGTCCTTGTCTGCAGAGGAATATTAATTCAGAACATGGCTGCCCTGGCAAGAGAGCACATCCAAAGACCCTCTAGGTCTGTGTGATCTGGCTGGAACACAAACACACCTTTAATCCAGGAGACAGAGGCAAGCAGACCTGAGTTCAAGGCCAGCCTGGTGTAGAGCAAGTTTCAGGTAAAGAAAAGCTTAGGTCCAGGTGAGGTGGTGCACGCCTTTAATCCCAAACAATGAAGATAAGGTTAGTTTGTAGAAGGAAGCGCCTATGTTTGAAAGTGATGTCTAATTGAGTGGCTGAGAAAGTGATGAATCAGAAAAGATATGACAGAATAGGATATGCCCAACTCTCACGAGAAGAGAGAGGAAAGGGAAACTACTTAAAGGGCAATGAGAGAGAGAGGGGGGAGGCCATTTTACCAGCACAGTAATAGAGAGAAAGGTTACAAAAAGAGAACTCGGTTGAAGACAGAATGAGCCAGAGAATGAAAGGGAGCCAGAAGATTAGAGCAGATTTCTGGGGTTAGTTAGAGGCCAAACAGAGCAATTCAGAGGCCAAAAGGGAAGCCAGATTGGATAAGTCAACTGGGAGAGGAGTTTGAGCCAGAACAGCTGAGTTGGGCCAGCCAGCCCAGCACTCCGTGAGAACAAGTAAGGCTGAGCTTGTTCAGTAGTAAGTCTCAGGCGGAAGACATTCCAGGCCTAGGTTAGCCTGGACAAAGGCACGAGGCTTCCAGGACTAGGCCCACATCAGCAGACAGAGGCAGGAAGCCTCTGAGGCCACAACTGAAGCGGTCGAATAAAAGTCTTTACACTTGTCCATTTAGCACTTCCCCCCAGCTGACAGCAGTTGGGCAGCCCCAGCGCTGGGAGATAGTTCACTCAGGGAAGCGCTCCTCTGGCTCCGTCCCGGCACCCACAGGAAGACAGAAGCGGCGCCCGCCTCAGCACTGGAAGATGCCTGCAGCGCACAGGCCAGCCGGCCGAGTTCCACATTCCAGAGACCTGTGCAGAAAGCAAGGTGGATGGCACATAGGAAACAGTGCGCGCGCACACACACACACACACACACACACACACACACACACACACACGCACCACGGGAATGACAGACTCATCTGTCTGACAGAGAAGACTAGCCAGGACCTCCAAGTGGCAAGTATTAACTTCCATATCCAAAAAGGCAAAACTAGCAGCGGAAATCTCTCTGCATACACCTACAGCAG